CTGCACTTGAGCTCGTAACGGTAGTTCCAGCTAACGAGCTAACGTAAATTAAGATCGCTTGTTCTGTTCTTTTCTTTGGTTTTTCCATGGCTTTTCTGGCAGCATCTTTCGTAGAACAAAAACCAAATGTGTTCGGCGGCAAAAAATAACCGAGAAGTAAACAAAAGATTCAGCCAGAAACAACAGAGCATCAGCAGCAAAGTTGGGGGAATGTGCTGCTCCTCTCTGGTTTTACTCGTATATTCCCAAAAACGGAAAAACTTCAGACTTCACTCAACGCCAACGCACTATTTATCTGCCTGCAGATCCCCCGACCCAGTTTTCCGCCCCAACTCCACCACTTCTCAGATACACACGCATCCAAGAGATACCCACACTCATTTGCATGTGGGTAGTGGGTCAGTGACTGGCGGGAAATCCATCTATCAGTCAACCTGGCTTCTGATTCTGATGCCTTGGTGGGCAGTTAGTAAGTTTCTCCTTGGATAATCATGGCTTTTGTCTAGTCACCTTTCTTCTTCGATCTGTGGAAAAACAAATCGAATTTGCCCCTCCCACATCGCCGCCTTTTTTCTCCTCCGCTGAGTTCTAAAAAAGTCTTCATTGGCCGCAACTGTAATAAAGAACTACATACCGTATACAAATCGATTTCACCCAGTTCTTTGGCTCTTTTCTTTTTTTTGCTTCAGTCTCTTTAGTCTCTTACATGCAGCACATATTTTCTTTTATGGCCATCCGTTTTTGTTGGGTTCTGGCCCGAGAACTAAAACCATAAAAAACTATTGCCCCCGTGAATGCAAGGAAATCTACCTTATAGAGAGTTCTATGTGTTACGGGGCCCAACCCAGCTGAAATCCAAGCTGGAATTTCGGCCTGTCCAGGTGATTGCGTGCAACATGCGCTCTCGGTTGTCATAAAAGTTGCCACTTTATGACTTACTTATGGACACAAAAAAAACAAAAACAACCGAGGGTAAGAAACTCGCGGAATAGAGCTGTACTTAAGTGTCTCTGCCATCTCATGGCGGAAATAGACCTAATGATCAATTAGCTCTGAATCCCGCTGCCGTTAGCTTCCGACTTGTCCACTGGGAGCGTCCAATTTCTGGACGATGGATGGATTATTGGTTCGGGGAGCCGACGAGTCGAGTAATGCGCAACTATGCGTCACTGCAATTAACCCAAAGCTCTAATTGGGGATGGTTAGCTGGGCATAAAACGTGTATTTTAAGGCCCATTACGGATGGCTTCCTGTCGTCGCAGAAAAGAAAGAAACTCGCCTCGGCAATAGAAAATCAAATAGAAGCCGGAGCAGCAGTTGGAGCTGTCAGAAGTGGCCGTCGAATGATGATTGCGCAAGCGACACATAAGCGGACTGCAACTCCCAGATCCCCGATCCCAGATCCCCAGTCCCAACTCACAGATCCCAAAGCAACTTCAGCAGTAACTGCTTTAATTGGAAATTGTTGCAGCAGAGGCATCCGCAGCAGCACCGTCAAGTGTTCTAGTTACGTGGCTGTCGTTTGCTTTCAATCTTTTGGCGCTCCGGCGCTGGCAATTGCATCACGCAAGGCAAGAAGTGAGCCGAGCTGCCAACGGGTTTGCTACCATCTATCTCTTCCACCTCTTTTGGCTACTTTCTAAAGCCTTTCCTCGCCCATCCGCGTCAGCATCAAGGTAAGCCTACACAGAGAAAAAGTCCGCAAAATATATGCATCTCAGCAGCATGTTTTAAAGTTTCTGGAAATTAAGCTTGTTTTAAAATTTCTAATTTGACCTTGGACTATAAAAATATAATCTTCATTTGCTTTCTCTACTGGAAAAAAAGCGTATTAAAGGTACTCTGTATGTTTATGTCTACTAACTTTATAACTATTTACTATCAAGAATTCTTGAAATTCCTTCTTATTATTATAACATTCTACTTTTAAATGAGAGTTTATGACGTAATTTTGTATTTCCTATTTTATATTATTCACAGCCATAACACATTTGTTAATCGAATCATACATTTTATAGAACTTGTGTACATTCATCATTGTATTCTAGAGGATCTAGAGTTCTAGTTGTTTTCCCAAGTGCACAGCTTCAAATTCTCATCTTTTCTCAGCCTGGTTCACTTGGTTACTATGCACAGTTTTTCTCCCCGTTTCCTTTTGGTTTTTCCCCGCTTTTCTTTTTTTGTTTGTTTTTTTTTTGTTTAGCGCCCAGGTAACTGTTCCCAACTACAACAACGGCAACCTCGAGAGCTGTTGAAGTTGCTCTTGCAGTTGCTGTTGGGAAACTGGTGCAAGCTTTTCTGCTGCGTTTTTAGTTTGGTTGTTGTTCTTCGGCGCTGGCTGCAAATTTGCAGTTAGTTCTACTGTTGTGTTGTCCGCCGTCGAAGTTGTCGTCGTCGTTGGTTCTTTGGGCTTTGATTTCGCTGCTGCTGCTGCTATGTATGACATTACTTGTTCACTTTTTTCCTACATCTTTTCGTTTCAAATTGGAAATTAACGTGCTACAACTAGGCTATAGGACCCAAACCGAGCCGAACCGAACAACTGCAACGGCAACGTGAACAGCCCTTTGTTCTTAAAGTTTTTACAGAAATTAATTAAGTACCTCGACTGTGAGCCAGGGGATTGGATTTATAGAGGTTGTTAGGAAAGTTGCTGCTGCTCTGTGTTGTTAGTTTTGTGTCACATGAGCCAAAGTCTATAAATTTGCAAGAGCCATAAAATTAGCTCGTAAAGTTTTGTTTTTAGTACAACCCCTATATACTCATACATATATATAGCCACATTTATAATGTTACTAATTAAAAAAGCGGATACAAAACCTGAAGTAACTTGGTAAAGCATTATTTTATTGCTGAAGATGGAAATCAGCCGGGTAAATTTACGACCTTCGGTAGTGATTAGTGATATGAGAAATGGGAAGCAAACATTTCCCGCTTAATGCGACACCCGACAAGAATTTATTTATCTATAGTTTTTTTCCCCAAAATGACATCATAGAAAACCTTAACAAAAGTTCGCATCATTAAAAGCGTTCGCTGTAAATGGTATCATTGCAACTGAACCAATTTAACTGATCATTCTCGAAATTTTCAGTGGTTTTATTGTCCAGTTTTATAGTACATTTACGACCCTGGGCAGAGTTGAGTGTTATGTGACACTCGAAATGAGTTGCTTCCCCCCTTTTTCAATACCGCAATCAATTTCTCATTTTAGGCATCGTTTATGACCATCAAAGAATCATTTATAACCAAAACAGTTTTGTCAAATTTCGATTGTTAGGGGCCAGGGCAATCCCTTTTTACAGGAGAGCCCGCTGACAGCTGCCGCTCATCGCTGATGGATGGGCGTCTGGTTGCTTGACTTTGCCGGCGATTAGAGGCGCTGAAAGGGTTAACCAGGCGGTTTTTTGGGTGGAGAATTGGAATCGGGAAGGCTTTTATCAGCAATCTGTCAGTGTGGCAACATCATCATCATCGTCATCCGCATTTGGCGGCAGCTTCAAAGGGCGGCGACATCTTCTGACTGACTGCGTGGTCGGTGTTTGACGTTGAATTTACAAATTACAACTAATTAAAAGTTGATGAGTCTGCGTGAGTGAAATCAAGCAGAGGCATCTCCTCTTTCCAGATTTTAAATTCCCCCGGCACTGATAAGCAAATGAGGAAGTCAGGAAAATTCTTTGAAAAAATGTATTTATTTTTGTGTTCACTTTTTTCCCCCCACTTTGGTTATTTGCGCAAGTCATTGCGAGTGTTCTGGTTGCCCGTGATGTCTGGCTGATGTTTATCTGAAGGGAACTATGATGGGGCAGTTGGGGCATCCGCTGCACAACATTGTTGTACAGGAAATGTTTTCGTCAGAGAGGTGCAAATAAAAATATTCGCATGACAAAGGCGGGCGATAAAATGTGGGACAATAATTCAGTTATGTTATTTATAGCCATGCTTTCAAATCAAATTTCCATCCATATCCTAAACTAATAATGGAACTTTCCTCTTTAGCTATTTAGCTATTTTGAAACTTCAAAAAAAGTTTGCCATTAAAATATTGCCTGAAATAATTGCGCAAACATTTGCTATGGCAACTGACTAAGATTTCCATAGAAAGAATTTCATTTTGCTCTGCTGAAAAGAGAAATAAAAAGTAAATGCGCAAAATGAAAACATTTTTATGCCGATTTGTGTGGCAAAGAGCAGCGAACTAGCGAAAAAATGATTATGGCAACGCTGATGATGTTGACAATGACAACGACAACGGCAACAGCAACATCAGTTAAAGTTGCTTTTGCAAGAACCACAATGCCGCAATTGACTTATCCACAGAGAAAGAAAAATTTAAGTTGACAAAACTATGATCCTTAGGAATATTATTTTAAGGGAATTATCTTTTTATTGTGCATATTGTGCAAACTACATTTACTTTTTCTGATATCTTTAAACATTGTTATTTCCTGTTAGTTATTTTCAAGGACCTGCAGTTTAAATATTTGTCTCCTAGTGCAGCCAGCCCACAGAACTGAATAAAGTCGTGCAAAAAAAATAGAAAAAAAAAGTCAGACAGTTAGGTTATCGCCATTGCAGCTTCATAATTAAATATTGTCAACATGGACTGGCTGCCATGTTGGTGCTGCAGATGTTGTTATAGTATGATTCAATATTTGCAGCTGAGAATGGAGAACCGAGTGCAGTTTGATGGGCAGCCGTTTGCTGGCCGACGACAACAGGAAGTGCGAAAACTATTAGTGGCACTTATTTATTCATTAGAGCCAGTTAGAGACACCCAGCTCGCTGTGTGCTCTAATTATGCAGATTGTAGAGGAAAAAGCTGTCAGTTGGACAACGATGATGCATCCTCATCATCAGGATGCAGGCACACGCTTGCTCAATTCTCTATTTACGCATTTGCATAATGACGAACGGGATGTCAATGCACTTTGGGTTCGGTTTTTGAGTTCAATGTGCGTGATGAGTTACAAATCATTCATTACCCTTCTGCTTACCTGCTTGAGATATCTTTATGGTGGTTTTTTCGAACTCGGCTCGTACTCGTTGCTGGATTTTTATGCCTTGCAATCACCGGCTTATCAGCGCACACAAATCAGAGCAGCGGATCCCGAAATATTTATGGGGACGACGAACGAACACACTTTTATGGCTAGATGTTGATTGTATGCAAAAATGATTTTTTAAGTGGAGAACCCTTGGTTCGGTTTTATTTTATTCCTCCGCTTTTGCGCCACATGGGAGCGATTTCCGCAGAACTCCTGCTCCAAAAAACACACACTCTTCACCACCAACAACAACAGCACACAACACGCCGGGCAATAATAAAAGCGTAAATGCTTATTTATTTGCAAGTCGTTCGCAAAATTCACTCTTGTATAATTTATGAAGACCGCGCACACGACGTCGACAAGCTCAAGAAATGCGAAATACGAAATGCGAAAAACCGAAAACCGGCAACAAAAAAAGCGAAATTGAACTTTTTTATTTGATATATTCCTGCGTTGATGTTTTTAAGAATCGGTCAAGGGACCGTCATAAAAAGTGCCCGTTTGGAGTCACAGAATTTGATTGTCTAGGCTTTCGTTCTGAGGTCAGAGTTCAGAGTTCAGGCAAGCAAACTGCAGTCCATCAATCACAACTGCCGAATGCAGGGCCTCGAAAAACCGCTGAGTTTGCAGTTGGCCAACCGATCAAGCGGACCCAACCGACCGAGAAATCCGAAACACCGAGACGCCGACAAAAGCCGAAACCCAAACTTATAACGAATCCCGATCCGAACCAGAATCAGAGCCAAGTAATTCCGCTGCAACGTGCGTTACGTGCGACGGTCCAACAGCAACTGCTCGAAAATTAACTTGGAGCCGTTTGACTGAGCCCCCGGGTGGAACCTGTTTTTGGGGTGGACCGCATGTTGTATGGATGGTGTTGCCGCTTCGGAGTGGAGTAGGTGGAACGGCACGGCACTTTTGGCGCCAACTTTGGAGAGTTTCAAGAGTGCCGGCTGTGTCGATGGAGAAAGATTGAGATAGAGAGAGAGAGAGAGAGAGAGAGAGAGAGAGAAAGAGCTACAGCACGTGGGTTAATGAATTGGCTTTGAGAATGGCTCAAGACCTTATAAGCTTTATGTTAGAGATGGCTCCTTATGTCTTGTAATCTGTCTTTTAATGAGAAAAATTTTTAATACATTATGGGGGAAGTTCCTGGTTTCACTATCGAATAATTAAACCGACTTCCATTTGCACAAATGTTAATATTAAGCCGGCTTAAATTTATGTTTTCTAGAAAAAAGTATTTTGAGTACACTAACGTTTAAGAGATATTTTAAATTGATAAATATCTCTTAAACGTTAGTGTACTTAAAATTAACTAATTTTGCTTAATTTGTTGTTCTTTGCTGTCTTTGCGTTTTCCTTTACACCGATGGACATGTTACGAATGAGTGGAGCAAAACAAACTGTGCGATGTGTGTAGAGTTGGAGAGCGCATGCGCACACTAAGAGCAAAAACTCTGGAGCAAAACCACCATCACTTCTGAGAAAGAGACACAAAGAGCAGGCAGCCGGCTACAAAAATAAATGCTACGAAATAGACAGGGGCGGCAGTTGGATTTGGATGAGTTTCTATGGGGGGGAGGAGAGAAAAGTAACTGTGGAGGGGGGTTTCGAATACGACTTCGGTTAGTCAGCATCTGCTTTGTATCTTGCACGCCGAGTGATAGCTAAAGATACATTCCGCCTCTCATCTCTTTAAGCATTAAGTGCGCTTGTAGCTGTCTATCAGACAGAAATCACCCCATAGAACGCCGATGATCCACCGGCTACCCAGTCGATCCAGGGAAGTATTCTTCTGTTGCCTGTAATTTGCAAACCGCAATGGCCGAGACACATCGGAATTCGTATTCTTCCACCAGAAATCCACAAAATACACACTCCCTGTCTATCGATCAGTGGTCATCGCGGCTAAGGAATTTCCTCAGAAATATTTATCTACGCTAATTTTCGAACTAAACTTGGGCAAGTGCCCAGGAAACCGCATCATTGCTCAGTTGCCTGCAATTTTTGCTGCTCGCGTGCCAGTTTGTTGCAACATTGCAGCATTGCAGCATTGCAGCATCGCAGAACGCCTTCAACGCTAAACTTCCCATAGAAAAAGTTTCGGCTGTCCACTTTTGTCCAGAGGCCCAGAGATTCCCACTCCTCTTCAGAGGTTTTGTGGCTCTGTGGCGTTTGGTTTATGGTTTATGCGCCGCCGTTTTTTAGTCTATTAAAATGATTGCAGTATTTACGTAGCGCTTTTCAGCCATAATTTGTATTTGCTGTGCTCATCATCATCATCATCAGCATTGGGCGAAGGCACATCCACATCCACATCCTCCTTCTCTGTGGTTTCTTCGTTTTTCCTCTGCGCAGCCCTCAGCATTTGACCCTTCGCCTGAGTTTGAGTCCAAGCTAAGCTCTTCTATTGTTTATATGCAACGAGCCAGGCCCAATAAAACCAGTCTGCGTTTCAGTTTCCTTTCCCAGTTTCTGTGGTGCGTTTATATTTTTGGTTTGTTCTGGCCTTAGCCTTATCGCCCCTGGCGTCACATTGGCGTATTTACCATGATTATTGATCGCTTAATACGAATTTGCTGCTCTTCGTGTTTATTTGAGCAGCTTAGAGATACTACTGACTGGGGCTCTATTTTCTTGCATAAATATTTGTCACATCGTGATCAATTACAGCTGGCTGTGCCACATAGAGTCGTTGACTCAGCGAGAAAGTTGGCTGGGAATCAAATTAATAATTGTATGCCAGCCAGGCCGGGCTTGAAACTTTTAGTTTCAGAGTATGAGTGATTGTGCGACTGCCGACTGTCTTCATTCAAGTGCCAGTTATTCGATCATTGCAGACATTAATGCATATTCTCAGGGCGAAAAAATAAAGCGAAGAAGGAGATGGTGCTTTTCAAAGTCAATCGACACGCCCACTGGGGACATTGAACTGCGAGCTGGGTAACAAAGTGTGCACGTAAAAAAATTATGTATTACTGGCTATTGTAAAAGGCTTAAAAAATTTTAGTGTTATTATGTAAATAGTTCAAATAAATTTTCAAAGCCATTTTCTTGGCCTGATAAAATTACTAATGTTGTACAGTTTATATTTCATCCAAACAACTTGTTTTTATTTTTTTTTTCTGTGTAACATTAAATAACCAGTTTAGTGTGGCACATTTTTTGTACCAACTTCCGCTTAGCAAGAACGCAACCAATTTTGACAGATTACAAGGCAGCGAAACGGCTTGAAGGCATCTTTTTGGCTTTTTGGTAAGCCACCAGCCGAGAGGTAAAGTAAAAAACCCTAATCAAAGGCCTCAGTGCAGGCGATGGCATTGAACCATCGGGAATTGGCCCCAAAAATGCAAGCTGGGCTAACTGAAATGGCCAAGAGCAGTAAAGCCTCCCTGCTGCTTTCAATTACGTGTGCTGGCTACCAAAAAAATACTCAAGCAGCAGATCCAAACAAATTTATGGCCAGAACAGAGCCGTTCAAGATCTGCATTTAAAAACACACAAAGTCCGCAGACGCTTGCCAACGATTAAGCACCGCAAATCAAAAACCAGGCAAAAGTGCAAAAGGAAACCACGACCAAAAAACCCCAGAGAAATCCAACGCAAGCCCGCAAATGACAAATGTTTGCACAGAGAGTTTTGCTTAAAATGCAACAAGAAAAGACCCAAAAAAAAAAATGGCAATACCATGCGAAAACAACCATAAAGTGTTGAGTGCTGGCGGAAATCACTTGAAACCGAAAATAAATCAAAGGGAACAATAATGGAGCACCAGCAGAAACAAAGAAGCAGAGCCAAAATCGAAAAGGAAAAGCGGAAAATAGCGCTGCCAGCATCCGCCGCCAACACACAAAAACCGAAACCGATAAAAGCAGCGAGAATCTGCAGAAATAATAAAATAAAAAGGAAAATCACCAGCTGAAACAGTAGTAAAAAGTCAAGCAGTAATAAACGAGCGCCGGAATCAAATGCATGACACAAGCCCTCAAACTCAGACCAAACTTTCGAGATCTGAGGACCCCAGTGTCCTTGCGACTCGGCGACTCGTGTGATTTATGTTCCATTGTCCAGCAATGTCAACCTGGCCAGCAGAGCAAGTCTGTGGCAAGTCTGGGCAGCCTTAATTGCTCTGGTGGCCAGCCCCGCCCCCCAGAAGTCCCGCCCTCGCAGCTGTATCCCGCAATTACAGAGGCGTCGACTATTACTCACCTCTTTATATGGGGCTTTTCGACTCGCCGAAGATTGGATGCAATAAAACAAAAGGTGAGATAAGGTGTGATACCTGGAATCGAATGCCATTCGGTTTGAAGCGAATCGTTTTGAAAAAGTCATTAAATACGGAGACCCCCTTTTTGATTTCTTAATTAAATGAAATACCAATGTATCATTCATTCTAAAATTTAGTTAGGGTCCCAAATTACAATTACATTTGTACATCATGCTGAGCTCTAATAAATATTAATGACATCTAGCTTATTTAATCCAAATTGGTAAAGTTAAATTCGATGTTGATAAAAACAATAGTAACTTGCTACGGAAACAGTTAAAATTTTTAAATTTTATAATATATATATATTTATATTTATATATATATATATATGTATATATTTATAAAAGTAATACCTTAAATATACTGAATTATTCTGATATTTGTATAAAAAAAAATATGATTTAAATAGTATATTAAAACACTGAAGGCATCGATAACCAATCAGATTCTGCCCCCTAGAATACAGGTCATAATAAGAGAGCACTCCTCGGGCTTAATCTTCAGGCTGTGCAGAAACGCTCGATTGCCATTTAAAGGATTATAATTTTTGCATTGCCGAAACTAAAAACTTCAGACGCAAACTTTGCAGACAGTTTTTGTGCCATTTAAACTCTCTTTTCATTCGGTTCAGAGTATTTTCAGAGAAAGGTGGGCAGGACAGGAAAAGGAAAGAGGGATCCGTTTAGTTTTTATTTCGTCGTGCAGCATTTGAATTCAAATGTGCTCTTAAATCGGCTTAGTTTTGCGAACAGCTTTTATGTTCCAGGCGGCTTAAATTAATGCGCCAGCAGGGACTTCGTTCAAACAAAGCAAAAAGCATTGGCGCGCGCACTCTAAAATGAAATATGAACGAACGGGGGAGTGCTGAAAATGTCGCGGGTTTGAGAACACACGGATGAGGTGATTAAATAGTTGTCCAGATTTTCAGCATTTATATGGCACGAGAGTGATTTTAATGGATTTCAAGTTGACCAGCTACTGCTGTTTACCTTTTCCCCTTCTCCCTTGAAGACTATAAAACACTGGACAGCCATTGAGTGAGTATCTCTGTCTAATCAACGCCACTTTCACGCCCACTTTCAGTTAAAATCACTGCTAAGTGTTGTGAAAATGAGATTGTAAACATTTTTAATTTGCCTTGTTAGTGCTGAGATTGTTGTTAAAGCGATTGCTGGAATACCCTCCAAATCAGCTATAGGGGAAGTTATATGGCTCAGGTTATCTGCCACCCAGAAAATAAAATATTTTCTGATTTCAAAAACTATGAACTACAATAAAAACCACTCTTTATTGCTCAATCTTACACTACTTATTTTGTTAGCAATATAAAAAAGTTGTTCAATGAGTGTTGTTTTGGGTAATAAAAATGGAATTCAATTAACTTTTTGTTCCAAAACTATTTTAACTATTGTAATAAATAACTGGGCATTAAATAATAAAATATTCGTATAAACATCATAGTAATTATCATTTATAAAGATAATAGGAGTGTATTAGAGTGCCTTGATTGAACAGCAATTGCTGCAAATTAAATTTTCGCCAGTTAGATGGACGGGTAAACACACTTGATATAGCCATCCATTTGCCAGCTAAAGAGTCCAATCTGCTGCGATTTTCCAACTATCTACGATGTTTTGGACCTGGTGCATGTGCCACGTGCCTCGCTATTCAGGAATCATCAGACTGCATTAACGACTGGAAATGGATGGTGATAGAGATGGAGATCGGGGTAGAAACAGAAAAAACGGAGTGAGGTGTGGATGGCTGCACCAGTCGCAGCCATGCGTAATGCACTCCGACGTAGTTTTGTTTGTGCGTCTCTGTTGGGTAGTCATAAATTTTTATGGGCCTCAAGAAGCAAACAGCGGGAGGCGGTCTTGTTCTTGGTAAAAGTGGGCGAACGGTTGATTAAAGTGCTGATGAGGGGCTGGAAACTACGCCCTGCAACGAATTCAAATGACCCTAGATGCACAGTACACTACTTCACTCAGGAACTTCTTTAAGTTTAAATGAATTTAAATTTATTTTACAATTTATCCCAGCTGCACAAGTAGAATTGTATATGTACGTATAAAAATATAATAATTCTGCAAAGTGAACTTAACTTCTTTTGGTTTGAGTGTACCTAATTTATTTTTAAATTTATCCCGTCGGTACAAATAAAATCGTATCAGATAATTACGTATACAAATATAGAACATTTCTTTAAAATTATCTTTTCATAAAAAAATAGAACATCTTTAATTGTGGTTTTTATTATCCTATATATAAATTTGATTTGTTTTTGATCAAGATCTTTACTTTATTATTACTTTTTAATGATTGGCCCCCCAATTGTTTCTTAAATAGCAATGCTGATCTGTTGCCAACCAGTAAGGTTTTTTGGGTGACTGTAGACTAAGGTACTCGTCAACATCCGTTGGATAACCAACCGCGGCGGCTAATCAAATCTGATCTGAAGCTTCAAAAATATTTTTGCCGAAAATAGACCGCCAGCGAACCGCTTCTGACAACGGGTCATCATCAATTATGCGATCGGTTCGGTTAACTGAAGTGCGACAGCGTATATCTCTGGGGTGTAGGTATAGGTATAAATAAAAACTCCCGCCGACAAGTTGCTGGCGTTTTCGCCCGGCCACTTAATCAAAAGTCCGGAGACATGAGCAAACATTTGGCTCGCTCTCTCCGTCGGAATGATAACCGCAATTAACGGCATTACACGGCAGGTGAGGGAAAAGCCGCCACTTACAGGCGATTTTGGCCAGCGGCGATAAGGCCAGGAGCCACCCAACAATAATTGCCCGAACAAGTTGTCATGATGGAAAGAATTAAAAGCCGCTCGCAATTAAAATAAATAAGTTAGTAATAGATATTACGTAGAACGAAGCGCTGCACGAAGTGTCCGAACCCGAACCCGACCCCAAAAAAAGTCATCCGACATCTGATATGTGATATTCTGCTACTAGCTACTAGCGAACTGGACAAGCGTTTTCACCAGCTTGGTGCCAAAAAGTTAAATAGTTGATCGAGAAAGGGCCAAGCGGATGGCCGTGAAAACGCAGCTCGCGAAAAAGAAAAAAGAAAATCGTCGCGAAATCGTCGCACTCCTAGAAAATTACTAACTGTGTCCCGTGATTCATAAACAACGACTTTGCAAAGAATGGATATACTTGGAATTCTTACACTTGTCAGCTGCTTGGGATTAACAACAGCATCCGGAGTGCATTTGAGCGATATTCAGCAGAATTTGGGTATGCTGGAAGGACCTTCTGCTCTAATTGCTGAATATTTTACATGCTTTTGTTTAAATTGATTAACAAATAATACAATAAAAGGAGACGTTTAGGAAAAATTAACGACCAAGGAAAATATTCATTTAAAAACTATTTGAGAAATCTAAAAGTTTATAATATTTAATTTCAAAAAAGTTTTTTCTCTAAATAAATAAAACCAATTTTAATATAAATCAATTTTTTACCTGCATTTATTTAATGCAGAAGGTTGATCAAGAATTAATGAAGATGCTTTTCGCCAAATTTAATAAAAACCCCTTAATTTTGGGGTTTACTAAATTATTGGTCTCATCCCTGACAAATTTTTTTTACTTCCAAAAAAGACTTTTAAATTTAAACTTTTCTTACAAATACAATTTACAATATAGATTTAAAATACTCTCGTACTTTAATTCGCCTTATCGTAATTAGACAATATTTATTTTAAGTTCGTCTAGATTATTGTGAATACTAGGAACAATTATCTGCACTTAAAAAACGTATCAATCAAACTGCAGTAGCGTGACAAAAACTTGTGCTCTTCGGATTTCACAAGTTTTTATCCTTGCTGAAGTTAAAGGATATTTTAATAATAAGCTTATAACAAAAAGAAATGTTTAAGAAGTAAACTTGCTTAAAATACTTTAGTTTTAACCAAAAATTATATTTTAATATCGCCATTTTTTTAAATTTTTTTGTCTCTCCCATACAAATAGTTGCCAATGGATCTGTTATGTTGGCCCCGTTAAACAACTCGGATGCTTACAGTGTGTCCATAAACCTATCGCAATCGACTGTTAACAATTGTCCTTCCCTGGAAAACGCAAGATCTATTGCACAAATGGAGTTTCTGACACGATTAACCGCCGGTTGTCGCTACGACAGAATGGTGCCACCCACGGTCTATAACAAAGATGGTGAGGAGAAGCCCTTGGACATCTATGCCCGGTTCTATATTTACGTGATGAAGAACTTGGACTCGAGTGATCTGCAGTTTATGGTGCAGGGTCTTTTGCAATTGCGCTATGAGGATCCCCGACTGGCCTTCTCCAGTTACCTGCCCAATCAAAGGCAGCCAATAATGGGAGAATCCGAACTAAAGAAAATGCTCTGGGTGCCACATATTTTCCTGACCAACGAGGAGGCCTCCAGCGTCTTGGGCACCAGTGCCAAGGACGAACTGACCTCCATTTATCCAAATGGTACGGTTTTGATCACCACAAGACTTCAGGCCACTCTCTACTGCTGGATGAACTTCAAGAAGTTTCCGTTTGACGAGCAAAAGTGCACCACAATCCTGGAGAGCTGGATGTACAATACTTCGCTGGTGGAACTTCACTGGGAGACCGTGAAGCCCGTGAGTTTCGACAAGCAACTTCAGCTGACGGAATATAACCTCATTGGTTCGCTCTACAACGAGTCAATCAGGGTGTCCAATGGTTCCTTTATGACTCATGGCTCTTTGGAGGGCAACTACAGTATTATTAGCTTTACTGTTTTGCTTACACGCGAAGTAGGTTACTATGTGATTGACTACTTTTTGCCTTCGATCATGATTGTTACCATTTCGTGGGTGTCCTTCTGGCTGCAGGCAGATCAAACACCAGCGAGAACTACTCTGGGTTGCACCACCCTGCTGTCTTTTATCACACTATCCCTGTCGCAGGAGAACGATCTGATGAAGGTGAGCTATGTGACCATGTCGGAGGTGTGGTTCCTGGTATGCACCATCTTCATCTTTGGCAGCCTGGTGGAGTTTGCCTTTGTAAACACCATTTGGCGCAGGAACAACGATCTACAGCTCAAGAAACGCACTACCAAATACATTGTCAAAAACACTTTTGTGCCGAAGAGACATAGACATCGGCATGGTTATAAACGGACCGATAGCACCATAAGTACCATGAGCTCCACTAGCATGGACAAGTCCTGTGGTCGTGAAAATACTGTGATCACCATCGAGACACCCATAATCATAGGAGGCAGTTTCAGTCGCGAGGATTCGGCCATTAGTTTGGATGAGCAAGATGAGTCCTCCAATGCGTCGTCCGGTGATTCTACAAAGGAAAAACCCGCCCCCCAAACTTTTGCCACGATGACGCCCAAGGAAGTGTCCCTGTGGATCGACCGAAAGATGCGATTCGTCTTCCCGCTCTCCTTCATTGTTTTCAACGCCCTGTTTTGGACTCTGGTCTACTGCCTGTGAGGTGTTTTTCGAAGGGAGGGAGAGAGCCATTCTGTGATCCTGGAGCATCCTCACCACTTGCCTCAATAGACTTAGTCCCTTAGCCCTAGATGCACATACCTATTTTAGAAAACTAGAGCTGTTCAAAAAAAAACATAAACACACAGAACAAACTTATGAAAATCTACACTTCTATAGAAACGTAGTAAATCTTAGTATGCATAACACATGAAATTTAACATGCGTTATATTTATATTAAAAATTATGATTTTATACTTAACTAAAAAAATTACAGGTTTCAATTCAATTATTTATCAGTGTAAAAAGGTGTATAATCTTAAAAATACAAAGAAATCATGACTACTTATTCGCTAAATTTAATCACGAGCTAATTTTAGTCGCCGAATCAAAAAAAATTGTTCAATCTAGGGTTAAGGCCTGTTTACACGATCTGAGTTTCCATCTGAGTTATTGCTCAAATGGTGTAAACACACCGGTCTAAAGTATTAAACTGAGATTTCAGATATAAGCTCCGAACACATATATAACCTGTTCTTTTTTATCGCTCCCTTTAAGCTATAAAATACCAAAAAACTTTGATGAGAACTCAGTTTGCGTAGAGAGGCCTTGCCTTTAATCCACATAACCAGCAGACAGGTGTGGAGTTTTCCCCAGCAAGGGCAAACGAACGTGTTATTTAGTCTGTATTTGTTTCTAATAAATTATATGTTTTGATACAACACCTCCCCCGACTTGAGCACGTACAGATCTGATAAATACGTTCCTATTAGCAGCGGGCAGGGCCATAAAACTCGGGCGATGATGGGGCAGTCAGGAGCGGGCTGTCCCGCTATATTTGTATCAATGAAAAAATCATAATGCCAGCACGCCCCATTGCAGTCAGCTCGATGCTTAATTAATTGCCCATGATGATGGGACTGTTGAAAAGTCTGTTGCAGTCTAGCGTTTGCTCCTTCAGCGAGTACACAGAATTTCCAACGACCAGCGTTTGCTCTTGATAAATTAACGGCTCTTGCAACACGAAAATTGATTTTAAATTGCCTTATAAATGAACTCCAATTCGCTGGGCAATAAACAATGTGTTATTGCGATCTCCGGCTAGATGCCAAATAATTCCGCCTGCTGGTCGGTGAAAATGGGAATTAATTTGCAGTGTCCATAACTTAGATCAAACCGAGGTACGTAGCGCATTACTATGCAAAGCCATTATCTGGCCATCAATCTCAGCTTTTTTTCCGATCCGAACTCGTTTTCAGCCAACTCCACCGCGAGGTGTACATAATGAGATGTAATCTGTCAAAATTAAGTGTATCGCTGGACCACTGGCCAGTTTTTTCCCTTTTTTTTTCAGAAAAGGTGGGGAGATGCCAGTTAAAATTTTCGTTCGCCACAGCCTGCAACTTTTGAGCCTCAACAAGTTTATTGAACTCCCTGCGAGGGCCGTTTGTTGGGTTCCAACCACCGGATGTTCCCATGTCATTCGGTAAGCCACACCATATGATAGATGCCCCGCACAGCTGTTTACTTATCAATCGGCTCCCTTCTTTTCCCGGTGAGGCTAGAAATAAAACAACCCAAACAGGGCTCAACTCCCTCAACAGCACTTTTCTTTATCGATTGGCCGCATAATGGGTCAGCGTCAGCCCAGAGACCAGAGTTCATTTACACACCGCTTATTTGTTTAGCTTAACTTCCGATTCCCCTTCTCGAGAAATAAAGTGAATCCGAGAGACCGCGGGAACTACTAAAAAAAAAGTACTCAATTGCTACTGGACCCTCTTCGCAAATGAGCTGCATAATAAGCGAGTACTCGCCTCAGTCCGTTTGTTTTTCTTGGGGCCTCTTCTTTTGCACATGAGAATTACAGACATTTTCATTTATTATTATGTGGTCCGGCCGTATAATTTGCAGTCACTTGCGACCGCTCGCGGCTCCCACACGTCGTCCCCGCGTTTCTCAACCATGAAGTTGTAATGTAAACGCCACCGACTCCAGACTTAACCGCAAGCGTGCAAAAACTATATATAAATGGGTAAATTAATAAACAAACGAACAAAAGAACAAAAGAACCTACACGTAAGACACAATTATTGTAATGCGTTTCTTAGACTTTGAGCGAGGATTTCGTAACATACAATGGGGTACATGAGGGATAGGGAAGTGGTGGTAGTGACTTGAAGCCAAGCTACAAATAATTATTAATTATGGGTTATGATTACTCATATATATATCAACAGTGTTTTTAACAATTTCAATGGTTTCATATTTATGATATTAAGAAAGTAACCCCACAAAATGCTTTAATATTTCTTTAATTTTAAAAGGTTTGTTTTGTCTTTTTAACTTTATACCCTAAATACTTTGTTTATTTTTAACAATTACACAATTTAATCTTAGCTACTTTCACTGAAGATAAATGCATTTCCAACTAGCATACACATAAACAACAAATGTCCCATTTATCATGCTCCTTCTTCTTTTAAGCTACTTCTTTTCAGAGAGCATTATGTAGTCGGGGTCCAGATGCAGCCCCAATGTAAAAACTCATTGCATTAGTTGGTTTATTTTTAGATGGTGGGAAAAATTCTATTTCGAGCCGCATTTGGAGCGCCCAACTTAGATCTTGCCTATCTGAACACAAGAATCAGAAACAGAAACGTCGACAAGGGGAGCAATAATCTTATTGTTGTTAGTTTTGGTTAGCCAATTTCTGTGTAGTGTTTGAAGCCTGTCTTTCGTCTAGATGTCTGCTGGCGTTTTGGGGTTTGGTACGGTGTTACGGGGTTCCATTTTCAGTCCAGTCACGCTCGGTGGGCGCTGGTTCAGAAGTCAAGTACGAGCCATTGCGCCGTCCACTTGGCCACTTGGGCAAAGCGTGCGAATGAGCCCAAACTCAAACTGAAACCCAAGCCCGAGACTTGCCAATCGATTTTATGACTAATAGATGCCTTAAATAACTGGCCAATACCGGCTAATTTGGCCAAAGCCGTGTGCAAATTTAATGCACATCATGGCTGCTGGGGCATTAGCATAAACGTTTCGCCCAGCGGATTAAGTTGCCAGTCTGGACAAACCGCATGGCTAATGAGAATGCAGCAACTACAACTTCGTGTCCGCATCCAGTGTCCAGACTCCAAGCTCCAAACTCCAGATTTAGATTCAGGTCCAGCACCCATGTCTTAGGTATTCACATGCAGCATGCCACAACCTATTAACAAATTGCAAACAAAACTGGCGACCGCACAGTAGCCGCCCATTCTGGTGGACTGCCGCATCCCAAACTCCCGCAGAAGTGGGCGTGCATTTTAAATTATGGTGCTAATAAGGAGCTGCCTTGGCGGCTAATTTAATGGAATGCAAACGCACTGCGTTGATGCATTTTCCCCGCGGCTCTCAGAGATTCCAGCTGCCTTGACCCACGATGATCTCTGGTGTACTTTGACGATGGCGCCGGACGATAAGGCCCATGCAACAGCCACGGCAGCTGGAGCCAAAACAGCACTACTAAAACAGCTCACCGGTGGCGCCTGTGCACCACCACACAGCACAGATTTGAATCATTCACTTGGCTTGAGCCTTGAATCGCCCCAAGGCCCCAAAAACGTTTTGCACGTTTTTCCAATGAAGCCGCCAAACGGAGCGACCCTCCTGTGGTCATAATTAATGAAAATTGCAAGGGCACTCAAAAAAAACGGTTCGAAGCCAAACTAAAACTAGAAAACTAACTTTGAAAGCATCAATTTATAATTCATCCTAGTAATCATGTCTGTTCATGTCCTGAGATATTTTAGTTGTTCTAACATTTTTAAGTTGCTCAACATTGGTAAATAAATTAAAGCCTTAAATGAATTTAAGCTTTAGGGACCGCAAGCTAAGTAGAGGAAATTATTTTTAAAAGATAATATTTCATAAATAAAGGTCAATACATTTTTTTCGCTAATCAATATCTCCTTAAAATAACTGTCCCATCCCAGAATTTTCTTGCCATGTAAATTCAACTGGTTTTTCCAATAGTTACCACACCCTGCGACTTTTACGATCGATCGCTTGACTGGCCATTTCTTTTGGCAAAAGCCTTTTGCAGGTAGCCATGTGACGACCCCTGTTTTTTACCCCTGCCTTAAGGGGCAGCGGTTATTAATTAGTATCTGCTTATCGCTGGCGCACTCGACTCGTACATTTGTCATAGATATGTGTACCGAACAAAGGTATCTGAGTTTTTTTTTGTATGGCGGGGGAGTGCCCCACAAAAATGGAGGCAACGACGGTAACGTGGACTGATCTTATCGAGAAATGTTTTGCTCGCTGTGTGACACTATCTTAAATGGAACTGAGTCGGCCGAGTTGCGGGTTAGCCGACTTTTGCTCATCCGCAATTTATGGCCCACTTGCTGCCAAAGGCAACAGAACTCAGCCCGGACCTTAGCCGTTCTAATTCGAGTTTGGTTTTAATTAAACACGATATCGACAGTGTAAGTGCAGTAGATTTTCAGTCTGGCGCCACCAAAGTCGCATCCGCAGTTCTCTTTCAGCCACTGACTTGACCACATTGTCAAAAGGTAATCAAGAAAGGCATCAACCTGTCGCGGTTATCCCGCCAAATGCGCTAAGCAGAGACAAGCAAGCATGACTGGGAATGTCTTGGCAGTAAATCATGTACAGCATCTCTGAAAGTCACGCCTACGATGACCAAGAATTTAAGGGGTTTAGACATAGCTTTGTAGTGAGCATATCTCCAAACAAATGCCTCAAGTTAGTACAATATTTTTCATTAATTCATCCTGAAAGCAAGCCTTAAGCAATTTCTAATCTTTTCTGGCATTTTTACTTTAATTTTGTTTAGAAAATACGCATTGAATTTCCGCATTTAAGCGAAGTATAAATTAAGCATAAATTGTGCATTTTGATTCAAAAGAAATTTCTGTGAATTTTAAAATAACAAAATGCCATCTCTTAGTTCCAATATACATAGTAATTAAATTGATACATTTCTTCTAAAAACTTTAATAGCTTTAATTTAGTTTTATTAAATTTGTGACTCATTTGTGAATGATTCAGACTCTTTGGCAAGTCTGGTTGCAGATAAAGCTTCTTTCTGTGAGTTTTGGGGCTCTTTTCAGCTCGCTTCGTTTGCTGCAAACGAGGCGGCTGGCAGAAAACTTCTGCAGCTTGCAACTTGTCCAGTACTTCCACCAAAAGAGATTCAAGATCAGCGCTCCAGTACACACGCGCTGCGCTCCACTCACAAAAGCCAAGTACGCGGCCAAAAAGCAACATGGAAAAAAATTAGTTAAAAGATAAACATGGCAAAGCCAAAGAGCAGGGCCATGGGCAAGGGCATTTTAGGGGGGAAATACTGTACTACAGTCTGTCGTGCTGCTTTTGGCTTTGTCTTGATTATGTGGGTTCAGCAGGAGTAGCAGGAGCAGTAGGAGCTGCAGCCAAAATAAGATACTTGCATACACATTCTAGGCAACGGCAACTTTGTTGCCGCGTCTTGTTAGCCAAACTCGAAAAGAGAAGCATCTCTTAGCTTCACAATGGCTGGGCCAAAATAATTGCTTAAAAGGCTCATTTTAAATATGGCCAAATAACAAAGCGAACGAACGCACATTGCTGAAGATGCATGGCCGCAGCTAATTAAATACAAACACGTGCCCACATAACTC